TCCTTCCTTTCCTTCCTTGTCCCTCCTCCCTCCCTCCTTCCCTCCGTTCCTTCCTTTCCTTCTTCCCTCCCTCCCTCTCTTTTCCTTCCTTCCTCCCTCTTTTTTCTGGTAGTCAAACCAGTACAGCTTTTGTTGCTTTAAAACTAGATATCAAAATCAGCATGTAGAACTGGGACATTACCTGTGCCTGCAACCCAACCCAACTCAGTCCTGGCCCTGTGGCTTGGCAACAGAAAGTGAAGCGAAACACCTGGGGAAGGGGCGTGGCAACAGGTAAACACCTGCTACCTCTGGTCAGGGGAACAAACTAAGCTGGTTCTTCAGCCAGGACAAGCAATTGCTTGGAGACTTCTTTCTAATGCTCTGCTTTTCAGAAACTCCCATTTTGTTGCTGGCTAAGGTTGAAACTTACCAGTAATCCTCAACCTACAACCACAATGGATTTATGTACTGCTTCACAGTACATTCTAGCCCTCTCGAAGCGGTTCACAGAGTCGGCCTATTGACCACAACAATCTGGCTCCTCATTTTACCCAAGGACGGAAGGCTGAGTCCACCTTTCTCAAGCTTGGCAACTTGAAGTTGGTTGGACTTCAACTTCCAGAATTCCACAGCCAGCAATGGATTCTGAGAGTTGAAGTCCACCCACCTTCAAATTGCCACCTTGGAGAAACATAACATGTTTAGAGATTACTACAATCCTAATTTTTTTCAATGATATTTTTGCTGCTCCTACTCCGTTAAGCCAATTGCAGAACTATGGAAAGGTTTTTGAAATCAACTTCATTTGATTCCATCTTCAAAAGCCTTGCATATCTTGCCAATATGTAAGGATTAGGGGATTTATGGACGAGGATTCTGAACAGAATCTGTCGCTTGGTTTGCCAAATCCTTTTCTTTAGGATGTCCTGAGACCCTTTGGTGAATGTCAGCGATAGAGTTGTTTTTAAACTTTGCAAAATGTTGTGGGAAGGGTTCTCAGGGTGTAAGAAATAATGATTAGGATGAATGACTTCCTTATGTAGAGCCGAATTAGTCAGATCTACTTAAAAATCTATTTTGGTTTATATCTCATTTTTTCCATTTATGTGACTTCTGTTATTGACATGGACTAAAAACATCAAGCCACATCATGTTGTGAACTCCAGAATAAATCACTGTAAAAATAAATAAATTAAAACCTAGGTGGTGACTCAGATGCTATGAATAAATGTCATAAAAAGTGACAGACAAGAAGGTGCAGTCTACAGTATGCAAATCAGAGTTATAGCTTCTTATTAATTACTTGAGTCTCATAATGACGGATTAGCCCTTGTTTGAAATCTTTTAAATAATGACGTGTGCATTAATAGGCCTTTGATTGTTCTTATGTTTGCTTCATTTGTGGCACATCATTTACGCTGCAAATGTTGAAGTGGTGCTATATTAATGTTAGTAGTTGTGAGTTCCCATCTTCCACAGCCCGTATGGCTGTTGGCTGTCCTAAGTGGGTGTTATATTTTGTCCCAAATGTCTGAAAGGAAGTAAATCTGAGTTTTAAGATACTTCGGTACTCTTGTTCTTTTTGAGATTTAGTATATAGATGAGCTGCACTTACAAACACCTCTTCTGTTCTGTTCCATTTCATTCCATTTCATTCTGCTCCACTCCAAACAGAATAACTGAGTTAGAAGGGACTTTGGAGGTCTTCTAGTCTGACACCCTGTTCAACCAGGCGCCTCTACACCATTTCAGACAAGTAGCTTTCCAATTTCTTCTTACAAACCTCCACAATGGAGCACTGATGGATTCTATTCTATTCTGTTCTATTTTATTCTATTTTAGCCTATTCTATTTTCTATTCTATTCTAATTTCTACTCTACTCTACTTAGAGGTGGTATTCAGCAGGTTCTGACCATTTCTGGAGAACTGGTAGCGGAAATTTTGAGTAGTTTGGAGAACCGGTAAATGCCACCTTTGAATGGCCCCACCCCCATCTATTATCTGCCTCCCGAGTCCCAGCTGATTGGGAGGGAATGGGGATTTTGCAGTATTCTTCCCTTGCCATGCCCACCAAGCCACACCCACCAAGACATGCCATGCCCACCAAGCCACAGAACCGGTAGTAAAAATTTTTTGAATCCCACCATTGACTCTACTCTACTTGCTTGATAGTGAGATTCTGCTGTATTCAAGTTACTTGATAGTGAGATGGATGGAACATAAAGTTAATACATCAAAATTCTAATTCTACTACTTTATTTTATTCCCCCCCCTCCCCAGGTATTGGTGAATACAGCCTGTTGCATTCTGATGCTGATTGCAAAGCTAATACAAACCATTGTGTTTGGGCCCCTCCGTGTTAGTGAACGGCAGGTAAGAAATGTTTCCAACGAGTGATGAGTGATGGGTGAATTATATTCACCAAATTATTTCTCTTTAATGGGCATCTTCACCTATTTTTATTATCTGGGCCCATGATAGCAAAATTTGTTATTTTTAGGTGAAATTCCAAAAACCCTAGAAAATTATTAAAAAACGGCTGCTCAGTATGTTTTTATCTTTAAAAAAAAATCAATTTTCATTAAATGTTCACAAACAAAGCAGTATGTTTTAATTTTAGAATAAACCTTAAGTGAATTATGCATGACTGTCCACCTGCAGTTTAAATATCCATCCACCAATTAATAACCCAATTACAGCTTCTCCTATTGCATAATAGTTCACAAAGTGCAGTGTGACCTTTCAAAACAAGAATAATAACTATCTGCGCAAATCTCTCTTTCAGCATCTGAAGGATAAGTTTTGGAACTTCATCTTCTACAAGTTTATTTTCATTTTCGGGGTGTTAAATGTCCAGACCGTGGACGAAGTCGTCATGTGGTGCCTCTGGTTTTCGGGACTTGTGTTCCTACATCTCATGGTTCAGCTTTGCAAAGACAGGTTTGAATATGTAAGTTTATTTCTCAATGTATCTGGGCAAAGGGAGAGGGGATTTCATTAGCCCTCTCACCAGACTCTCTCACCAATTTGTCACTCTGGACATTGAAGTTGGGTATTTGGGATGCAGGAAATCACTTTTATTTTGTAGGTGAAATGAGCCACAAATTTGGATGTCATGCCAGAAAGCTAGAATAGAGGAATGGAATAGAATTAGAATGGAATAGAATTAGAATAGAATAGAATAAGAAATAGAGTAGAATATAGTAGAGTAGAGGTGGTGGATGTGAGTGGGATGGGATGGGATAGGATAGGATAGAATAACAAATAGAATAGAGTAGAGGTGGAGGGGAGTGGGATGGGATGGGATAGAATAGAATAGAATAATAATAGAAAGGGAGCTTGGGGGGTCTTCTAGTCCAACCCACCCTGATCAGGCATGAAATCTTATACATTTCAGACAAATGGTTATCCAATCTCTTCTTAAAAACCTCAAATTTTGGAGCATTCACAACTTCTGTAAGCAAGTTGTTCAACTACAGACCTTTTATCAGGCTTGGAGAGCTGCCAGGACGATATCTTCCAAACTCCACGCTGTAGCAGCAATTACTTGGCAAGAAGTCAGGAACAGATCTTCACCCTAATGAGTCAAACTAATTGTCTCCTGCAAACTCCACTCCCCTTTCACTCCTCTTTATTCCCTATGGAAGGGGCCATTCACCGTCTACCTGTGCCTTTACTCCCGAGTCGACCATTGTTCCTTAGCTATTCCCTTCTGGCAGCTCTGCACATGTGCATATCGGCAACAGGCTCCAGCTGTTCTTCTGCCTCACTGATGTCTGACTCCAAAGGCAGCTGCTAACTGTTGGACGGCCTTGGCCTCCTCTCTGCCTCTGACACAGAGCCCTCATCAGAGCCTTCCCCAGTCTCCAGGACTGGCTCATGTTCCTCCCCAACCTCCTTGCTGTCCGAGTTAGCTGCCAGATCCGCCGGCCACTGGTGGACCACAATACCATGGAGGTCTTCTTCTGAACCTTCTGAAGTGTGTCAGCTAAGAATGCTGGTAGTCAGAATAGGTTGTGGGCATTTTCTAACTCACATGTTGGTATTTTTCAGCTCTCTTTTTCTCCCACCACCCCTCTGAACAGCCACATTCGAGTCCTGACCCTGCTGGTTGTCATGTTGCTTTCCTGCTGTGGGCTCGCAGTGGTGTGCGGCCTCATTGGCTACGCGCATGGAATGCACACGCTATCCTTCATGGCTGCAGAGGTGAGACTCCTGGTTAAATCACCTAGGTTTTAGGCTTTCTGGTTTATTGAGCTTCATCCCCCGCCCCCCCTGTTGTTCCATTCCTTTTTTTAAAAATTTTATTTATGTAGGATAGAAATTACAAATTGACAATGGCAACTAGTTATAAGGAAAAACCTGTATAAAATGTTCTATAGGTGGCCTTTGCCACCGGCAAGACTAGGAAAGGTGTTTAAAAATATATCTGCTAAATGTTGGAAATGTAACATTACTCCTGGAAACACCAAACCTGAAGTAGTCAGCAGCAGCCTGAAGATGACGAATGTGACTTCGTCGAAACGTCGCCAAGACATCTCCAATTGTTAGACAACTAATCTTGACCGGCTCAAGGTTGACTTAGTCTTCCATCCTGCTGAGGTGGGCAAAATGAGGATCCCGATTGTTGAGGGCAATAGACTGATTTTGCAAACCACTTAGAGAGTCCTGTAAAGCACTGGGAAGCGGTATATAAGTCTAAGTGCTCTTGCTAGTACTCTATTTTTTGCACAATGCTTGAGTGATTTTCTGCTGGATTCAGCACTCGGTCTACTGAGCAAGTCTTGGTCTATGGAGCGAAGCTCAAACAAACCTGGATTGGAATCATTGGAAGATGCAGCTCATTTTGAGAGAACAGATTGGTCTGTCTTAACGCTGTTTATATAATCATTTCAGGATTACAGCATTTGCGGGCTAGGAATGTTCCCCTCCCAGCCGCTCATGGCTAAGCGCAGGAGGCATACACTTCAAAGGTTCAACTCTGATTCTTATAATTAAGTAATTGTAATTTAAATTAATACCTGAAGCTCGGTACAGGGCATGCCTTGGTCTCTCGCTCTTTGAATAGCTCCCATATTTGACCTCCTACGAAAGTTAAAAGGTTTCAATAGATTTATAGGCTATTAACTTGGCCTCCCTTTCTACAAACTAGCAATTGCAATTGTACTTATATACCACTTAACAGTGCTTTTACAGCCCTCTCTAAGCGGTTCACAGAGTCAGCTTATAGTCCCCAACAATCTGGGTCCTCATTTTACCCACCTCGGAAGGATGGAAAGCTGAGTCAACCTTGAGTCGATTAGGATCGAACTGCTGGCAGTGGGCAGAATTAGCTTGCAATGCTGCATTCTAAGCACTGCACGTCATGGATGGATGGATGGATGGATGGATGGATGGATGAAAGGAAGGAAGTGCAATAGCAATAGCACTCCAACATATACCGCTTTATAGTGCTTTACAGCCCTCTCTAAGTGGTTTACAGAGTCAGCCTATTCCCCCACAACAATCTGGGTCCTCATTTTACCCACCTCAGAAGGATGGAAGGCTGAGTCAACCTTGAGCTGGTCAGGATTGAACTGCTGGCAGTGGGCAGAGTCAGCCCACGTTACTGCATTCTAACCACTGTTCATCATGGATGGATGGATGGATGGAAGGAAAGAAGGAAGGAAGTGTAATAGTAATAGCACTTAGACTTATATACCGCTTCACAGTGCTTTTACAGCCCTCTCTAAGCGCCTTACAGAGTCAGCCTCTTGCTCCCAACAATCTGGGTTCTCATTTTACCGACCTCAAAAGGATGGAAGGCTGAGTCAACCTTGAGCCGCTCAGAATCTACATTGAAACTGCATAGTCCTTTGATTCTTTATTTGACACCTATCACAAAATCTATAAACAGTTGAGGTGATCTGTATCGGATTTACAATTCCCAGCTCCTT